CAGGCAATATGACGTTATCTTAATTTGTATTCAGTATTTGATAATCCAGTATTATCAAATTAGTATAAAAGTATTTCCAAATTTATATAAAAATTTGTTTTAAAAATATTATTTTTCATATTTAAAAGTGTATCGTTAATCGATGTGCATACTGTGTACTCTGTACCGCATTACATTATTTAGCAAAAAATCGAAAGACGATATATATATATATATATAAATTTCTTGTTATATTTAATGAAAAATTCAAATACTACTAATAGACATTAAAATATACTAACGCGTGCGCGATTTTGTTTCAATATCGGAGCAGTTAAGTACAATTTAATACTTTTAAATGAGTTGTTTTACATGTCGATATTATCATTGTAAATAATCAATTTAAAAGTTATATGTAACTTTTTTGTTAATTGAGGTAAAAAACTAATTGTGCATGCATCCAGGGATCAATTATCGTGCTTCCTTATTCCATCGCATTAATCGTCACTCGGTTAATTGTTCAATCATTTAAACCTTAGAGTCACGTTCGGCACCGCTTGCGCCCACGCATCCACAACAGGTGCGTGTGATTGTAATTAGTAATTAAGAAAAGTCAGTAATTCTTGGAAGAAAAAAGTGCAATATATAAGTATCGTATAAAACGAAAATTAGAATCTCTCGATTTTAAATAAGATTTTTGATAAAAGTAATTTTTGTAACTGAATACAAAAATATTTGAAATTTTAATATATCAACTTGTACACAGCTAGAAACAAAAAAATCTTGTTCAAGTTTTATCGTTTTTGCCAGGCTAGTGGAGCTTAAATTTTTACTGTTTTTAGTTCAATACTTTCTTCAGATGTGTGTGTGTTGTGTGTGTGTGTGTGTGTGTGGGTGTGTTTACAGATTTTTGCTATTCGTTATACGAATTATTCGTAAGCGAATTCGTAGGTACACATTTGACGTTATACTTGCTAGAGCTATATACATCACTGAAAAAAGTGATCTTGCAGTTACAGCGAAAATTATCTAAGTACGAAAAATAACTGGAATACATAAATTTCTAGCAGATATTGCGATATTGGATATGTATTGCATCTAATCATATAGATGACAGAGATAGAATTTATATTTATGCTATAAATTCTATGCGTATGATATATAATTTTCTATCAGATACAAAATACAGCTATAATTTTAGCTGGAGCAGCAAAATATTTTTTTGCGTGATTACGACGCAATACAAGCACAAACGTAACATCGTCTATCCTGGTCCTCAAGTTTCCAAGTATAAAAAAAACGAAAATAACGTCCGAGTGATCTCTTTCTACAGCACGTACGAATATTCGCTATCTACTGTTTATCCTATTCATATAAGTATTGTGATACGTAAAACCAAATGCATGTGTTTCTTTTGCTCTATTCATAGTTAGATTATTTCGTTAGATACTCAATACAATAATATAGTTGGTTATTTTCGTTTTTTTTACGCTTCGAATGTTTAGTCACTTTACATTTTGTTGCCTCTATTTACATGTATATTGGACATTATTCTACATACATATGTACTACATATATACTTAAGCAATTATTAGCATCTGTCAAGTGCCTCATGTCATGCAACGTATTACATTAAGACATTCCCATCACCTCTAAAAGAGATTGTAATCTATTCTTGTGTATAATATTGGATACGCTTTATTGCGAAGCATTTTTTTTACATTAAATTTAATTTTCTATTTATTAATTAACGCATGGTTCGAGGAATCTTAGAAGGAGTTTATACGATACAATTCTGTAAACTTTGGAAAACATTAGACGTAATTTCTTGCGAAAATCTCTTTGAAATACGATTATAAAAACTGATTCATTAATCCAATACTTTTCTCTTACACGGAGAATCTCTCAAATACTTATGTCTCATTTATATATCTTCCGCTAATACTCAATCGTTTCGCTATTGAGATCACGGTTGCCAGGTCCCGAGCACTGTACGGCTGGGGCCCGAAGGTCCGTGCGCTAGAGATTTCATATTTCGACTGGAGACCGGCCGATTGTTTCATTAAAAAAAAAAGAAAAAAAGAAAAAAGCGCAGGGTTTAATTCGTGTTTTGCGACCACTGTTATAGACTTTCTTTTTGTTATTAATATTTGACCAACATAAAGTATCAACACGATCACAGAGACCTTATTATTATTACAAGATTTATACATACAGTACGAACACAATTACAAACTTTTTTATTATTCGTAAAATAACATAAACTGCGAACATAATCGCAGACTTTCTTATTACTTTCCACGTAATTTAAATATGTAATTAATAAATACCCCACGCGAGCGAAAAATTGGAGATTTTTTCCGTCTGCTGGAGAACTGGAGATTGGTCCTGAAAACTAGAGTCTCCAGTTGAAATCTGGAGATCTGGCAATCGTGATTGAGATTCAAACCTTTGACCTAGGCAAAATTGCGAAATTCCGATTCCTTTTCAGAGTGCTACTACATTTTTATCTAACCATTTTCTTCATAGATTAATAACGATAAAAATAAAAGATTATTAAATCTAATTAGATTCACACGATCCAAAGTCAAGAAATAAAAACACTTGTAAATTCTTAAATTCTTTCTTTATCCAAGTAAACAATTTGGATCAAAAACTTGAAAGAAAAATTTGCTAGAGTAAACAGTGTTGAGGGTACTTGTATGTTGTACAATCAATTACATTTGGATAAGTAAAACCTATTAAACTATTTGACAATGATAATTAATCCAGTGTTTTTTAAATATAATTTATGAAATTGTATCCGATGTTTTTTTACTAGTGTCACACGTATAGCTGAAAGAAAGTCTAGGTATTATTACTTAATAAATTTTGGCAAACTATACGACGCGTTTCGCGTGCTTCGGAACGGACGTTGGCGGCAACATCTCTGATGGCCGGAAGCGGAAGCGGAAGCGGACGGTATCGATCGCGCAGAGACTCACCTGACTCACGTTCTCACGTACGAGCAATCCCGGAAAAAGTTGGAGCAGAGCGTTCCTAACTTCCTAACTTCCTAACTGCGGTTTTTCGAATGACTGCCGCGCACGGTGCTCTCTTCCTCGCGAGACCTCGCCTCGTTCACCTCGGACAGAGTGTGTCTCGGCGCGAGTGACTCGCTCTCCAGAGTAGTCCAGAGAGACAATCGACAAGTCGGGCGTACTGAGGACTGGCTAGCATCTAGCTCACAAGCATCTTATTATTGAATCGCACTGTCTCTGTGGTCTGACATCAGACCATGTGGCGACGACCAATCGGAGCACGGTTTCGGCGAGCGCATGCGCGTCCACCACCCGGTGTGCCGCATCCGCGCGCGCGACTGACGACGACCAACGACCACGACGACGATGACGATGACGACGACAACGACGACGACGACGACGACGATCGCGCCGATCACGCCGATCACGCCGACTTGGACCGGACGACCGGCGAGCGACGGCGCGTCCTGTCTGATTTTCTGTCACGAGCGAGATCGTGATCGCGTCACCCGCCTCCACCCGCCTGCGCCACCGGTTTTTACTTGACGCGCGAGGATCGCCAGATTTCGCGGGCCACGCATCTGTCACATGCCGCACCGTCCAGCACCGTTCAGCACCGTTCAGCACCGTCGGCGTCGCCGCGCCGTGCCGTCGTGACTTTTCGAACTCCGCGTTCTTTCGTTTCGTACGACACCAACGGCGACGGAGTTATCGGAGGACGATAGCGTTACCGGCGTGATGCTGTCACCGTTTCGCAGATACACGTGAAAGAATCGATACTTGCCACTTATTGTTGATGATGCGCAATATCCATATGATTTTATACATGTTCAACTATTAAAAAGCGCGCACGCGCGTAATATGCATAGTAAAGAATCGATAATTAAAGTACTCATCTTCATTCAGTTGTCTTTATATAAAAAGGATAAACGATTATATCTGATATGCTTATCTAAATGAAGATAAAGCAAGATCATAAAATATACAACAAATTAGAATGACTATGTGTTATATATGGTCTGCATTCAGAATTCATTCTTAAGATCATTCTGTATATAAATATAAATTTATTTATAAGATGCTAATACTCTGTAATTGTTGTCTTATAAAATCTTAATAGAATATACTCAAGAGATGTACAGTCAGAAATAATAAAACTATATGAATACTGATCTACGTATATGTCTGATTATAAATTTGAATAAATATATATATTTTCAGTTAGATATAAACAACTTTTTAATGAATAAGAGGATTCAAATGAACTTTTATATGCATGAATATATTTATAAATTTTTTTATTGATATATGTATAAAAAATTGATTTAATTTGATATAATGCTATTTCCACATCAGTTTTGCAAAAAAGTGCTACAAAAAGCGATTTTACGTAAAAATCAAAGCATACAAAAAATTAAATCATTTTTAAACTAATAAGAAAATATGCTTATATAATCATGCATATAAAAGTTCATTTGAATTCACTTATTCATTAAAAAGTTGTTTATACCTAAAACTGTGTGTAAAAATATGATAATTACGTTGTATAAGCCATAAAAAACTAAATAATTTTTGTTCTTTTACACTTCAAGCTTATTTACGCCAATTTTTTTTTAACTGATTTGGCTTTTTTAGCTGATTTTTTTATTGATACTTCTAGCTAACGTTGTAATCAAGATCTTAATAAATTTCCATAATTTTTACAATTCAGAATTTGTTTTTATTTCGACCTTCACATCTGCAATCAATTAATTACAAAATTTCTATTTTAACTACAAATTTCGATTTTAATTACAAAATTTCAAAATTATGTTTGAACTATATAGAAATAAACTAAAAAAAAAACTTCTCTTTAGATTATAGCATATTTACTCGCTTGTTTATTTGCACTCTATATTTTAACTTTTGACAGGGTGAACACAACTCGTACATTTTTATTAAAATGTTGTAGCTTCGATAAACATAAATAAGGTAAGGGTCAAGAGTGCTTAAATAAACGATGATGAATCAAGATCATAAAACGGAACAGAAATAACTGTAAGTTAGAAAAGAACTGAAAATATATATATTTATTCAAATTTATAATCAAAGACACACACATGTAAATCAGTATTCATATAGTTTTATTATTTCTGACCGTACATCTCTTAAATATATTCTATTAAGATTTTATAAGACAATTACAGAGTATTAGCATCTTATAAATAAATCTATATTTATACAGAATGATCTTAAGAATGAATTCTGAATGCAGACCATTATTGGTTTAAAAATGATTTAATTTTATAAATTTCATAAATTGTTTGATTCTTTACGTCGAAATATTATGTTTGAATAGAATTCTATTCATTTTAATAAAAACATTTTAATAAAAACAATTTATGAAATTTTTATATTTTTTGTAATGTGTTTTGAGTTATGACACATTTTTAATATGTTAACTACTCGCGCGTTTTTTTCTAAATCATGCTAAATCTTGTCTGCGCACTTTTTAACAAACATTACATCACCTTGACGAAGTATAAGAGAATCATTTTTGTCGATTTCATCAGTCAATCGTCGTCAGACTCATGAATTAACGCGGATATAAAAAGTGGATAGTTAGGCTAAGCAGTTTTTATTTAACTGAGTTTTCAATTCGTAAGTTAATATTCGCGAGAAGTATACGATATAACACAATCGTAGTTTTCAAAGTCCGAAATCTTCGCTTCACAGTTTCGCCGCTTTGCCTATACGAATTATTCATTTTCTATGTAAGAACTTTTAGGTGATCAAATCAAATTAAATATGGAAATTTTTGGTATTTCTCTTATATCTCAATTATTTAAATTTACGATACAAATCTTTAAAAAAAAGATTCTGGTAAATTTTCTAGTAAATATTTTTCTTCTTAATTAATGTAATAGAAATGTTTAATAAATTATTTATAAGCATACGAGTTATGAAATGAACGTGTTGTGCGATACAAAGTTAAATGTGTGTTCCTTATATTGCTTTCCGTATACTCGTATATTAGTAATATATCGATAATATAATTTTTTCGGTATTAGTTTTGATGAAAGAGAATTCTACAGTCAGTATCCAACTTTCAAAGAAAATCTGAGGAGAAGGATGTAAGGAATACTCGATAATTAATAATTCTGAAGAGCAATGCAAGAAGCACGTATTCACTGTAATACATGCGGACATACATTACATTTGACAGCTTTATTTGAGTATTTAATTAAATCTTTTAAAAAACGAGCCATTTAATATTTCTTTAAATGTTGACATACCGTTTTTCTACAGATATGTCGATGACATTTGCGCTGCAGTCCTTCCTTCAAATATCGATAATTTACTGGAAAAATTTAATTCATTCCATCCACGTCTTCAATTCACTTTAGAACTGGGTGGAGAAAAATTAGAATTTTTGGATACTACAATTATTATCAGCAATAGAAAATTTGTTTTTGATTGGTACCGCAAGCCCACTTTTTCAGGAAGATTTTTAAATTTTCACTCTAATCACCCTATTGCACAAAAGAAAGGCACAATTTTTTCGTTAGTCGACAGAGCCTTTTTACTTTCTGACTTTACATTTAAAATTT